TATATATGCATGTGCTTGTCTCATAACGCGAGCTTACAACACAAAGAGCTGCAGAAGGACTGTGTTTTCAAATTGTCTTTTTTTTTTTTCCTTTTCCAGATTTAAGTTTCTGTATCAGCAGATGACTGTAACGGCTGTAACCAAGAGGGAGGTGTCCGTTACCTGGCGAACACTCTGTCCTTGATGCCTTTCTCCTTCCCATACTGCACAGACTGCACCTCCGTCCGCCCGCTGGGGACAGAAACAGCAAGAACAATCATCAGTGGACGAAGTTGAAAGAAATAAACCTTATTGGGAGTGAAACAGCGTTTGGCTTCAGCAAGGCTTACTGGTACCAGCTTTACTTCCTGAAACCAAGACAAGATTTCACACGACAACAGCTGCAGTTTGTGCGACTTTATTCTGCAATGCGAAAAGCCACTTCAGTTATCAGTCCTTCACATCTTCCAGAAAAAAGTCTGTCCTAAAATAAAAAAAATCAATCCAAATAGTGCAAGACAGGCCGTCTGTCAGCCACGAACAAGTGCAGCAGCACATTTATCTTTTGACACTCTGCTAATAACATGTTAACGGCACAAACTCATAATTCAAAAGACTGCGCTTATTGGAAAGTCAGTCAATATCTCAAGGGCAAAAACACACCCCCACACACTGTCAAGCCAAACATCAGACAAGGCTCGCTCGCATTGCATCACTGCTGCTCAATAATGCATCACAAGACCTCCAACTCTCGGTTCATCTCTCACTCACATACCAGAGAAAAGGGAAATGCAGAACGCGACCAGTGAAGGGAAGCAAAGGTGACAGAGGGCGATGTCATAACCCAGTACAGAGAAAACATGATTCTACTTTATGTTTTCACTTTCCATTCCAGGTCAGCAGCAGAAAACATGCATATCACCAGTTTAACAGAAGTGTCTGGTTGAGTAGGGACGCTGAGATTAACTGCATGGCATGCTTTAACAAAGACACCGTCACAAACAACTCCTCAAGTTCACAGGAAGAGCTGCAAAGCCAAACAGAAACAAGTCACTTTATTGAGGTAAACTATGAATAATTAAGTTGTGGTCTTCTGGGGCAAGGTAGCATGACAGACAAGCAGTAGCCTTTCAGTGTTCTAGCCTTTCTAAGCAGAGAAACGCCACTGCATCGATCCAGTCAGCATGCACTTCTGTTGATTCTCCCCTTCAGTCAGACTCAAGCAACAGCTACAGAACGTGTATGTGTGTACATGTCAACATGTGGAAGGCTGGATCTAGACTTTTCCTGGTTCTTCGTGCTCCGTTGTTCCTCTGGGAGCCAATGTTTGTGTTTTGCTCTCACCAGTATCTGAACTTTGAGCCTAAGGTGAAGTAGTGAGCGAAGAAGTTCTTCTGTGGCGGGATGGGCTGCTCCAGCCTGAAGAAGGTGTGGTGCTCCACGCAGGTCTTCCACAGGTTCTTACAGGCCCGATAGTTGACCATGTTGAAACCCAGCAGCGTTTCCCGAGTCTCAGTCTGTGTGCAGGGAGGACAGGACAACAAGAGCTTGAAAACCGTTCTGGGTTTTGTCCACTAGTTTGTCTATTTACCTGGTTGTCCGCTGGCTAACAACACTTGTAGACAACTGGTTATTTATGGCAGACAGTTACCTTTAAAGTCTCCACTACTTTTAGCAAACTACCTGATGCATCCATAGCCATGTGTGAGACTTCTCTGCTTGCTCGTTAACAGACAGGCCTGAATGATGCTGCAGTGATCCACGACACAAGAGGGAACAGTAAGTTTTACAATTTCTTCTTCACTGACAAACTAAAGACGTGATGTGATGTTGTTGCTGTGGATGGTACTTATGATCCGTTATGTCTGTAGAACATGAGCTGTCGGACCACAATTAATTTAAAACGGTATTCTGTCACACATTTTACCGTCATCAAAAAAGTGCAGCTCATTTGGATTAGCTGTTCGGTCCTACTTGAAAACCCTTGTCAGACAGTTTGTGTTGGGAATAACCAGGACTATTTTTAACAAATGCCTAAAATCTGACTTTGTCCAGAAACAAGAGTTACTGACGCCAAAATACACACTACAACATCAACGGTAATCAGTTTATTACATCACCATTACTTTGTATTCACTGAATCCTCACATGGTTAAAGACACAAGCGGCGTTCCTTATTTATTGTCAGGGTAGGGGCAGCTTTCCAGTAAGCATATTGGATTAATGTAAATTAGTTAGCGTTGACTGTTTCACCAAGAATAATTTATTTTTATTTATTTCAAAGAGAAAAGAGAAAGGAAGACTGATGGAGGCACGGGACACAGACTGCATTGTTGAAGGTGGACGAGGATGGAAGAGTAGAGGAGCAGAATGGAAATCCCAGCATTAAATTATTAGATGCAGTTTATTCATCATCAGTTCAATGAAATACTTGACATGCTCCAGGCCGCTGTGGACACAGTAAGGGATGCTGCCAGAAGGAAAAATGGGAGTGAAATAAAGAGAGCTCTATCATTTAACTGGTAAATATGACTTCAAATGGACGAGCAGTGTAAGAAGGATAAGTGCTGAACTGTGAATATTTGTGTTGGCATATAAACATCAAGTAGACAGCGGGCTTGTTTGCTGTCTTGAAAACCCAACAAAGGATGCAAGACACAGTGGGGATTAAAGCAGAGTGAAGCAGGACTCAGACAGCAGGGGGTTAATCTGACGCTGATCACACATGCAGACACAGCTCAGCACTGCACGGACATACATGTATGCAGTCGGTACGGCATGTACAGAAAGACGCTCACGCTGGATCCATCCCTCTGCTCACAAACGAGACGTGGTTGTGAACAGAGGGAGGCCAGAAAGCGCTGCTGCTGTGTTTGAATGTTTGTGTGAGTGGGCGTGAGCTGGTGCGTACACCTACCACCTCTCTTCTTAGCTGGACGAAGAACTGCTTGCACTTGAAGGAGATTTTCACTATTTTCAACCTGTAAGCAGGAAAAGGTTGTCCGTTGAGTTGCTGCCATCACCAGCATTCACACACCAAAGCGACATCAGCTGCACAGATACAGTCATGTGTGATCATGTGTTCAGCTCCTCTGTCTACAGCCAGCACACTGAATGAAATACTGAAATATATCTGAGAGTTCATAGACAGCATTTAAACGCTGCAGTTAAAACGTACAGAAACAGACACCAGTGAAAACAGAACTAGACCCATTTCAATTACATGTATGATAAAAATTGAGCTCTAAAACAGAGCTGACTGTTTGGCTGCACAGCGTATGACTACAGTACCGACCCAGTGGCATGTCCGTGGGCTCTACAAGGTTAAAATGTAAATGAGTAAAATGACCACCTCCGAGCTGCCAGCCAATCAAGACACAGTTTACACTCATGTCTCACAAGATCCACAGGAGATGTAGCGCAGACGTTGAATTTACAAGACTGAGTGTCAGTTGACAAAATAAACCTCCTTGTATGTGTTCACACGTTGGGCTGATAAAGCCGATTCTGACACAACACAAAGCCGTAGCCATGACAACAGACGATGCTTCAAATGTGGATGTTGCTGCAAAGGAGCTACAGATTCTAAAATGCAGATGCTTCACAGACATCTGCCAACAAAATACCAACTAAACATTTGCGTCAATTTCAAAGAAATTCCATGAAGGTGTTCCTGAGATACCTGGTCCACAACAGTGACCCAGACGGATGCCTCCAGCCACGGCCGTCGTCAGTGTGGAGGCATGGAAATATGAAATATGTGGGACGACCCAGGAGCCAAGTAGGGAGGAGGCCCACCCCATGAGAGGGACTGTGCTCAATCAGTGACTTCCTGGTTTGACTCCCAGCCATCCTAGACATTCACTGCATGGCACATTTCTTGTCTCTCTCTCCACTGTCAATGTCTAACAATGCCTGACTGAAACCGGACAGATTTTTAAATTGGGTTCCATCATGCACATGAAACTTCAGATATGTTCCTTCTCACCTCCGACCTGCGCTCTACCAGAGCAGACAACAGTGGTGCATCACACACACTGCCAGAGGGAGTAATCAGGAAGCACTGGGCCACCGCACACCATAAACAAAGATGAGATTGTGATGCAACAGTTTGATGCAGAACTAGTAATACTTTGCAGTAAGAACATTCTGCGTTGCTTGGGAACAGTGTCTGCTGCTCCAGGCTGGAGAATAATAATCGCAACCATCCATTTGCTGTTATTCGGGCGGATGAGTCTGTGGGCAGTTCGTGAGGTTTGAAACTGAATCTGGAAACTCGTCACATTACAAAATAAAGTGGACCAAACATCGGCTCAGGCTAAGGTACCGGACTCAGGTTTTGGTTTTGAATCCTCATCAATTCATTTTGCTCCGGTTGAGGTTCAGCCAGACGGAAGTCCACCAGATCCTGTGCACCATACGTCCAGAACTAGCACTGTAGACGGCAACACGGCAGGTCCAAACATCTCTTTCAGGGATCAATAAACAAACTGAAAGCACACGTCTAAATAAATGGCCATTTCTTCACGTCTTTGTCCCATGTGTCACATCCCAACTGTTCATGTAACCTCCAGCCTCCTCCCAGAGCTGCAGGGTGTTGGCTATCGGAGTGTGACAGTCCTGAAACCTCCCACACTCAGCAATGGCCACATTCTGCACTGCGTACTATCCAGTCACACACACACAAGGCCAAACGGGATAAATAATAGTGGAATCAGAGGGCCACACACGCGTGGCCACCGTAAGAAGTCTGCTAATGAGCAGCAGCAGAGGAACATAATCCCTTCCTAGAGTTCTGCTGCTGCTGTGACTCATCGCTCCCTGCTAAATATATTTTACATACTTACTCACACACACATGCTTAAGCAGAGCGTGAGTCATGCGCCATCTACGTGCGGCTCATTTGTTAGGCTGCTGTGAACAGAAATAGGAAAGAGGCAAAACTCTAAATGTCTCTGCCGTTCCTCAAAGACTCTCTCGACCCTTCGTTATCTTACAGTTGGATTTATGACGGCAGGAGAGTGACGAGAAGGAGAGACGGCCTGAGAAGTGGCGGGGCTGGAGCAGATGTGGACACACTGAGCCTTTGTTGGAGGGAGGTAAAGAAAGAGAGGGAGAAGTGAGTGAGCGTGGGGTTGAGAGATCCTGTTGACTATTCGGTTTCTCTCGCTGCTCTCTCACACATGGCGGTGGGCAGCTGTTGGGGACGCCGCTGTTCGCCGCTACATTTAGCTCAGCTGACTGATGCACACACAAACATGCTGTAGCTGCTGTTCTCCACTCAGGAGGACTTCATGCCGACTTATGTTCAGTCCATGGAGACTCTTCTTAACCTGACCACAAACTAAGTCTTCACCCTACATTGTCATGGTTTGGCTTTGCTGTCCCCCAGATGGGAAGTCCTCAGTGGTCTCCATGGTGTGAGTAATAAAAAACCCTTCACTCACCAAAAAATTCATCTATGCAAGAAAACATGCATGCACACACACATACCAGCTGCTGAGTGCATGTGAACAGGGCGTGTATGTGTTAAGCCTACACGAGTGAATTATCAGTTACAAGAGGTTTGAGTTGTTCCTCTCCCACCCCCAGCACCCATTGACATTTAGCCTCCCACGGTGCAGAGGCAGAGGATAGGAGATTTCCAAGAATCAATGCTTTGGAGAGAGAAGGAGAGCAGCAGACGCACAGAACGATGGGAGGAAGTGACTTGGACACAGAGAGGCGAAAGGAGGACCAAGAGAGAAAGAGTAGATGTGAAGCCTGTAATATTTCCAGGAAACCTAGTGTAACACTGAAAGTCGTCCTGGTGCAGAAAAATAAAGAAAGATCTGGTGGAATCATCTGCTGACTCTAGAAAAGATCAACTGAAGCTTAAACATTCATATGCCATGTCAATAATCACTATGTGAGAGGTTTCCAAAACATTATGCAGCCCATTTCTCCGCAAAACATGTTCCTGGAGGCAGTTCAGGTGGAGCTGGCAGCAGTCTGATGGGCACAGAGGTGGAGTTCCCCCAGTCCAGGGCAAATGACGGAGTATGAAAATGTCAATGAGGAATGAGCTTTCTTTTTCTAGTAGCGCTCCATTTCTCATCCGCACAGATCCCCTCATTCACACCTGACAGCTTCCAGGTTTCTGTTGGCCTGAGATGAGCTTTCAGGCGGTTCCATTTGAAGAACCTTGATCAAGCAGGTGCAACTGAAACTGACAGTACGATCACGAGCTTCTTTTATTTAGTCACTGAAGCAGTTATTTGTGTACAGGAACAGTTCAAAAAGCGTATACACATTACTGGTTCAGCCATCAGGTCTCGCTGTGTATTTCTGCCTCCAGCGAACACAGACAAACTCTGGGTTGAGTTGGAAAGTATTTCCCCGGGGTGGTGCTCGATCTTCTCCTGTTCACCTTCTACATTCTCTCCCTCTGTGAGATCATCCATCATCATGGCTACACACATTCATTAAATCCCTTTCAACTGCAACCGACTCCACCCTGACCAAGTCCCTGGCTGAACTTACATCACGGATACCAGCCATCCATCCAAAAGCAAACCGTGACAAATTTGATATGTACATGTCCGGTCCTAAATCTCTCACCAAAACCGCCCATAAATGGACTCCCAGCACCGACAGCCCCGCTCCGTCTCGGTCTCCACATATCTGAAACCTCACAGTAACTTCTCACTGGAGCAGCATTTCAGTCCCATCCCAAAGCAGCTATCTTTGGGTTTTGTGCTTTTCAGACTTTATTCTGGGGTGCGTGTTACTCACCATGGGAAGTAGTTGATCCGTACCCTGTTCTTGTAAACCACAATGCCGGCGGACATCACCCCGATGAGAATCTCTGTGTTGCTCTGGTCCTGCAGGGAGGAGAACAGAGCGCGTGCGTTGTCGAGGTGAGATGAGCCAAACAGAGCGCAGTAGAGCAGGTGATGCTCCAAGTCTACATCCCTCAGAGCCAGGATCCAATAAGCAGCTCCAACACGTCCAGAGGATCACCCTGATTGATCTCATCTAGACATGTCCTTTATGTAGTATGTGTTGGATATCATTTCTCTCACTGTAGAGTATTGTTGATGATAAAACTGAATGTTCTTCTGCTGCTCAATCAGTACATCAAGCATGATTTCTGTGAGTTCTTGCTAAATTTCTCCAGATTTCTCAAGAGTCCTGAGACAGCCTAATTCCATCCACATCATTTACTACTGAGGTTCATGAATATATCTATCAAAGGCATGTAACACTGTGTAAATAGCTTTACCAGGATATGTCTTAGACTATTACATAACAACAAAATGAAGCCTCGTCTCAAAAAAATCCCTAAATTTGCAATTCTGTCAGGTCTATGAAGTTAAATTCAAAGGCAAGTCCCAATCTGCAGAGCATTCACACTCCCCGTCCACCCCACAATAACACCACAGTTAATGCTGCACTGCTCTCATCTCCTTCAGTAGTTAACAATCCAATCTCTGCAGGATGAGCTGGAAATGCCACCAGGCCAGAGCCCCGCTCACTTCTTCACGTAGCTTCATCTGATCGTTTCTACACAACTATCCAAAAGAGCTATGTGCAAAAAAACAACAGTATCTTGATGATTTTCCTGCTGCTACTATCTGTTGGTGTTATGAGAGCTGAATGCCAATGTTTGGCATTTCTGCAGGGTGTGGGCATCAACATCAGCTGTGCACGCTGCAGCTCCTCCAACCTGTTCTCATCCCAGCACAGAGACGCTTGGCTCTGCTGCTGCTGGCAGAATGAAAACAGTGCATGTGTGATGGTGGGGCAGGGAAACCTGTCACAGACTGGAACTTCATTACCATCATTCATTTTGATCACACTGGCTGAAGGTGGGGATGGACTATAGTATTTGTAACTGCACATGGCTGTTGTGGGGGGAGGAAGGAGCAAGACCGCCCACAGATGCACTGACAGGCCCTATAGATACCGCTAGGGAAATCAAAAACAAAAAAACCAGAGACAAACGGCAACACACAAACAAGCTATATGTAGAATAGTTTTTAGGATACTCAGTAAGGCACACGACTGCTAACAGACATGGAATCACAGCTTACTTACCCTTGCATAGTGCAGCTCCACCCCGTAGAGCTCCAGCGTACGTGCTGTGTTCAGATAATTAAACTCTGACTGGCCAGGAGACAGACCGCTGAGAGAGAGGGAGGGGAGAGAGTACAGCAACAGACAGGAGTGTGTGGGAGCCATGATGGCAGGTAGTGTGTTAAACAGACATATGGAGGTGGAGGAGGACAACGCGAAGCAGCAGAAAATAGGCAATCAGAAATAAAATAATGACAAGCAGTAGCTCAGCTAAACTCTATCACAGAAGGCTTTTGTGAAGAAAAGACTAACCTGATTGCATAAGTAATCATTTGTACTTGTGGAGCTCCTTAAATCAACAGACTTGTTTATCTAGACATAACTCCGGGACAGCAGCTCTGTTTGTTTGCTGCCACATGCTCGGCTGGACGTATCACTTCCTTCCTACATGTTCATGACCATGAGTGGGCTCACGGGCGTGTTAGCATCCGTGTGCAAGCATACCTGTGCTGCTGGTGATGTTTGGAGACCTCTTTGTGGAAGTCTTGTGGGGGATTCGGGATGAAGCAGTACTCAGACAGGTAGCCTGGATTATGCTCTGTTTCACTGTAGTCCCCCAACTCAGCTGCAGAAAAAGAGAGATTAAGAAAACGATGATGCATCAACATGTTCTCAGTTCAATGTGGAAAGTGTGGATTAAACAGAATCGAACTAGTAATGGGTCAAGAACTGAAAATTTTCCCCACAATAGAACACATTCATAGCATATTTCCTGACACTGAATCACTACATGTGCCATTTTTCAAAAATATGTACAATTCATTAAATGCATCAACTACATCCCAACATGTGATGGACCTTACAGCGGACACGCATGCAGGTTCCTCTTTATATGAAGCTGTAAACACACAGGGCTCCTATGGAAGTCTCTGAAAGTCTGGGACTTTACTGTAGCTAGCTAAAAACTGGGCAGCAGCACTGTGTCAACGTGATTATTTCTGAGGTGTCCCAAGCACAGCAGGCGGACATAGCATCACATATCTCTGTTCTGGCACCATCACTGGAAGGCATGCACAAATCAAAGCACCTCCAAAGTTCGGCAATGACTGCTTCAATGACGGCACTTTAAATGATGAACAATAAAAGTGTGGATGACAGAATCTACTGGCTCATGTGCAGTCAGTGCACCTGCTCTGTGGACGGTGTGCGTGGCTGCACAACGAAATGTACACCATGCATACCCTCTGCAGGCACACAGAAAGCATGAATCGGCCTTTAGCTTTGCTATGTGTGGAACCCTGAAGCGCTAAATGTGTGTTTTTGGGAGTGCCGTCGGTACACTGCAGCTTCAGGGTGGAAATGTTTGGCCAAGACGTTGATTGCCTCCATGTCTTCTAGCATACAAATAAACATCATATAGACATATGAACAAGTTCTTTACAAAACAAAAACAAAAACAAACTGGATTTTACCCGTGGTAGTGTGTAACTCCAAACCGCTGACAGACAAACACATTTTTAACACATCTTCCTGTCTTCCTGTAATCTCATTAACTGCTGGTGTTTGCACAGGAAGAGGCTGGAACGTTGCTCGCTGGTGGAAAATACAAATGAGTTTTCACACCTTTGCTGTAAATTTTCTCACAGTCTCTGGAAAAGCTCTTCTATTGAGACTGTACATTACCACAACATGAGAAAACAGGACGTCTTGAAACAGTAGTTTTAAACATATAGTGCAGTAACGCTACATGCTTGTTGAGAGGGACGTCGACCTCAGTGTGTGGTGCGTGTCTGTGCAGGTTTTCAGCTGAGCTAGACAAAATAAAACCCTATTACCTCATGTCATCACACCAGCTGCAGTCTGGCAAGTTTAGCATAAACTAAGGTGGTGCAACACACAGGCGCCTGATCGGTAAGACTGCACAGATGTAATAAATATCTTAAAACAAATCAAAGCAGAGGACGAGGTACAATGAGCATTCACGTTTGAGGCCTTTCCTTATGAACGCAGCATGCCACAGAGCAGACAGCCAGAGGCTGCAACTGTGGCTCAAAGTCACAACAGGCAGTAGGCTTGAAAATACAAATGCTTTTATTCAAAGATAAAAAGGAGTGCAGATTGCCGATAACAGGCAGAAACAAAGAATGAAATGATTCCCAGATCTCTGCTATATTTCAGAGCCTTCAGAGATGAAGAGCTCAAAGCCATTAGCTCACTAGCTTGCTGCTGAAACTCAAAAGCTTCAATTCATTCAAGTAGTCCCTTGACTAACCTCCAAGACGGGAGCCTAAGCATATTGACCAACCAATCAATTGTAGCTCACCCGCCTATTGATGTGCACACACCACCAGGGACATAAATGTGTACCGTCAATAGCTTGTGTTTCAGAGCAGCAGCTTAATGTCAGTGCATGTTATGCTGCACTTATTACTTTAACAAGGTTCAGAGTTACGGCCAATGAAGCTCAAAGATCATTCAACCTGATCTCTGTCTTTACTTCCATCTTTGATGTGAAATCCATACATGGATGTAGATTGACTGAAAGTGGGAGAGACGAGCTGGAGCTCAAGGCTCCTTATGATGGTGCTATTGACCAATGAAGCACAATCCAGACTTTACAGTCTCCATTTGTGATGATGCGTTCACTTGCATTGCAGGTAATGTAACCCAAGTGTCCGTGGTTCCTTATGCGTCCATCACCACAGTCAATATGAATAAATTAATAAAAGCAACATTTTCCAGCTCAATGGAAAGCAGCTTTAACGGCATCAAAGTGTTCTGTAGATATGAGAGCTGCTTTAGGTGAGCTCACAACTACTGCTTTACAATACCACACAAAAACGTGGAGTTTCCCGATTTTTTCTTTTTATTTTTTCTTTACTAAGACGCATTCATTTCTGAGAAAGGGGTTGCAATGTTTTTTAGACAGTTTTTGGTCAATTTATAAAGCAAGACTGTAGGTTTACTGCGAGGGATTTGTGATGTTTCTAGAACCAAGCTTTGGTGTGGGATTTAGAGTCATCAGCGCTGGCACTTGGACTGAGCTAACTGAATTAGCAGCATAGCAGCTGCTTCAAGCCGTTTCTCCCAAAGCAAACATTTATCTTCATAATCTGGGCTGGCACTGAGGAAGTGACAACATGGACCGAGCTACACGGTGTGTGTGTGTGTGTGTGTGTAAAAGCAGGAGTGTCATGATGTTGGTAGTCTAGGCCAAATCTCTTCTCTGACCTATATACTGCAGCAGTGCATATTCCCTGCAAATATGCCATAGAGGAGGAGAGCACAGAAAGGAGGAGGAGGAGGAGGAGGAGGAGGTGGAGGGACAGGGTAAGAGGTTTATGAGTGCATGAAATGGGGGGTGGAGATAAAACAAAGAAACAGGCAGAGGGCAAAACAGGCTGCATGAAAACAATGAGCAGCAAGAGAGGAAAAGAGCAGGACACACACACAGACAGGTTACAGACAGACAG